ACATGCAACACCCACATCTGCTGCTGCTGTTGTGGGGAGCTGCAAGAGCATCACCTGTCAAGCAAGTGCTTCCTGAAGAACAGCCTTTATCACCAGTTTTAGCATCACATTTTATGAGCATCATTCAAGCTGCTGAGTCCTGAACTGGACAAGGAGTGGCTGTACTGGGAGAAGCAGTTGGGGTGCCTTCAAAGAGTATGCTTCAGCTAGCCGCTGGGCTGCAGAAAGGGACCAACAGGTATCAGCAGTTATATGGAAAATCCAGTAGTGATAAAATAACACTTTTGAGATCTTCAGCTGTAAAACCTGCCACAGACACTTTTCTAAATCAAACCAAGCTTTACGTATAACTTGATAAAAGATTTATTAGGTGAGGAATAAAAAATATGTAAAAAAGAAAGGTATGGAAAATAAAAGTAATATACCTGTAAATGCTCTGCTATGCTGCACTGAACTAAACAAGATCTTGCCTGGGACAAGTTTCTCCATATGGGTTATTTATTAAAAAAGAAAGAAAAAGGAGCAGGGAATAATGATCCCATGTAAGGTCTATCTATTGTAGAGAGCAGCAGTTTCTGACCACTGATGGTCTGCTTCTCCAGCTGTTTCTCCAGGATCTCTGTTAGCTTAAAAGTGGACTTTGAGGTGTTAGGTGTCAGCGTTTGTGCTGTTGTTCACAGCAAGTCACAATCATACTGCAGCTCAAGATCAAAAGACACGAGGCAGCAGACTCAGATCGGGAAACACAGATCACTGAGGTCAATGCTGGATGCTTTCTGTGAGTGGTTAAATGATCCATCTGGTAACTAATGGGACCTTGACACTGTGAATTACTATTATTAAGAAAGTTAGGAACACCTGGAGAGCGCACTGAAAACTTTCCAGGAAATGGTTATACTGGTACTTTTGGTGTGGCCTCAGCAGTGATTTAAAGGCAATGTTCTTGAAAGCATCCTTGCAGTACACTCTGAAAGTTGTGCCAGGACTGAACTGGTGCATGAAGAACAAGACTCCAAGAGCAAAATTCCCTGTTCACAGATAGACTTCTCTACTGATGATGTCGGCATTTTTCACTGAGAATGATACTGTCAGTAGAGAATCTTCTCCAGAAAAAGCCAGCAGTAACGAACATTTATTTTCATTATCCCATCACCTAAAAATGTCAGCAGTACTTTCAGTGCCATCTCTCTTTGTCAAGACATATCTATTCTGTAGGGAGAGCAGTGAAAACACTTCACACCAAGTAAATGTTCATGTGTGTGACCGTTCATGCCATTATACTTTATTATAATGTTTCTTTTCAAAGGTAGCATATGATATCAAATAGGCTGGTTAGAAAATAGTATGTCATTCCTGATTTGCCTCTGCTCATGGACAAAAGGTTGAGGATTTTTTTGTTGTTTTTCTTTTTTTTTTTGTGTATGTGGGTTTTTTTGTGTTGGACTCCAGCCTAAAATGAAACAGCACTAGAACAGAGGTCAAGAACTTGGAAGAATTCATTCAAGGGGAACCAGGTACAGCTTGATTCAATATCAATATTTCATATGTTCTGAGATTGTGGTTCAAACTACAAGATAGCAGAACACCGTTTTTATAGCTTTCCATCTGTGAGAAGTTATTTCTCAAAGCACTCTGTATGAACAATCTAACAGATATTCATTTTTGAGATCATATATTCTGCTAAGTGGGATCTTTTTGATGCACAGTCTGGCTGTGATAATAATTTTAAAACTAGAGAGAAAGTCTTAGAGCCAGATTCATAAAAATAAATGTCTTCCACACAAAGTTATTTTCCATGATGCATTAACTCCTCCTTTTCCAGGCATTTGCATGAAAGTAATATACTCTATGTTATATACTTGTGGAGCAAAGGAGAATGAATCAGTGCAAGAATCATAAGGAGATCATAAAGCTTTTATTTAAGTAATAAAATACACATACCCTTTCTTTTAAAAATATTTTCTTGTTTGTTTCAAGACATAAATACAAATGCTTTGAGTTTGAGAACAGCCAAAACTCTTTGATGACACAGCAGTAAGGGTGTTTGATGCTCTTCTAATTGTGATGGAGTTGTAGCATATCATGTACCTGGTTTTTAAGGCACTTTGGAAACGTTGGAAATCAGTTTCACCTATCCAGTATCCAGGATGCATTTGAGACCAGTTGTATTGACAGGCAAGGCCGGATAAAGAAGCTTGTTTTCTGTGGCCAACAGGGCACTAGCATGGCTAGCATCCCATGCCACTGTCTTTGATTTCCCAATCCAGATGAGCAGGAACTGATTTAGAGCAGGGATGACTGGTGGTGGCCTTGGTTGACAATCTCTAGCCAGGTTTTCCACACGCTTTTGGACACACTGCCACCACCCCCCTCGTTTCACCTTATCATCCTTTCACTGTAGTAACAAGAAATCACCAATGAATTTGTAGAAGCCACAGTGCTAACCCACCCAGTTACCTAAGTCATTTATGTCAGGGCTGAATTTGAAGCTCTGTGTCTGATGTTATGCAGAAGAACATGGGTCTTGTGGACGAACCAGCTTTTTCTGGCCTTATCATCCATGACCTTTTTGAATTATAGCAACAGGATTACATGGAGGTGTTAGCATCTGTTGCACTCACTATCACTCGACATTTGTGACATTTCTATGAGCTTTGATGCTGCAGTGGCACATGAGCTTCCAACCAAGGTGGCTTTGTCCTTGTGCTTATGGATGACCAACCAGGAAATTCTCACTCCTGCTGTCCCACCAGCTTTTCCCTTTCAGTTTTGATTACTCCAGCTCTAAATGCTTTAATCATATTCTAAGGCTGAGAGATGAAAACTAGCAAGTAAATGCCATAAGTTAAATCCTAACTTTACCAAAGGCGTTGGGATCTCTGTCAGTTTCTTGTGGTATCAGACTTTTAGCTCAAATTGAGCAGGTAGAGAAATCCAGGTTTTCTCACAAATTTTTTTTTTTTTTTTTTTTTTTTTTTTTCCATCTAAGCATAAAGAGACCACCTTCCACATACATCTGAGATTTTTTGAAGTGTCTCTAGCTAGTCATAGAAGTAGCAGCAGCTCAGACCAAGCTGTTGAATGCCAGGAATTACCAGACATTTCTAATGTGTAAGTGTTGACCAGTTCCATGGTAGATATGTAATAAACACAAAATTAATGGAAGAGCCAGCATTACTACATGTGCTCTGTGCAGACAATTTTCCAATGTGTCACACACAAATCAACCTTATAGTGCACGCATGGATGACATGTTGGAAGGAATTTCTAGATGTGCCTCATGCAGTCAAGAGTATGTGGCAATCCCACTTATTGCAGATGGCTCTCGGATGAAAAAAGGTGACTTTGATGCTTTTTGTGGGTGAAGAAATGATTATCAGAGTGTTACAGAAAGAGATCTTCATCATCTGGGGTGTTTTGTGAGGTTATAGGCATCCACCAGGGAAGGTTTGCATTTCCTCTTCTGCGGTTTAATAAGGAAACGTATTTTGTATTAAGAAAAGTTGAAGGCTTTTTAATTTTTGCTCATAAGGAAGGAAATATCTAACTCACTCATTAAAGTCAATTCAAGATGAAACACTACTCCACTTATCTGCTCAAGAGCTTTCTTCATCCACCTCTGTAGCTTTTCAGAGTCTTCCAGGATGAAAGGGTAGTGCCTAATATGATTCATGGTGTCTTTTGCTCTTTTTCTTCTCTCGCTTCAGGAACAGGTCTTGGCTGAAATATCAATAGACAGTTGTCTGTCACCAGTCTCTGTTCTCATGCTCCATGCACTTGAATTTTCATACATCCATTTTTGAAAGAAAAGTAGTCTTGTTCTAAAAGTGGCCAGTCTCCACTTAAATTTAGCCTCCTGAAGTAAACTACTTCCACAGCAGGATCTTTTAACCATGAAGGCTATTTCTTCCACTGTTTTGGGTTTTGGTTGTCTTAATGGTTCTTGGACAATTTAAAATAAAAGCAGAATAGCAACAGTAAAAGCTAATAGCAAATAATATAACAAATAGCTTATAACAAAAGCAGTAGTGAATGAAAGGATCAGGTCACAGGAAGCCCTGTGATGGCTTATATTATTACAAGAGAGAGCTGCTGTCATCTTCAGCACCTAGAAGCTCTCCATTGCTGTTGTGTTAAACTATAGATTTGAAGGCTGATGGTTCTCGTTCAAAGAAAAAAAATCAGGTATGTCCATGAGATCTAATTGGGGTTCTCTGATGTCCCATTCCAATATTCATTTCTTTTTCTGTCTGTCTGTGTTTTGCTGATTAAGGATACCAATTAAATTTGGACACCAGAGTGAAAAGAGTAGGTGTATTTTACTGGGGATAACCAAGTAATAATGTAACAGAGTAATACAGAAAACATGCAGTAAGAAAAAGCAGAATAGTGCACTTATAGCAACAAACAGGAGAATACAGGGTAATGCATCAAATCATTACTACCTGAGAGGGAGAGAACAGTGATTAAGAAAGATCTATCACCACTTGCAGACGTTCCCATCACCCAACCCCGCAGTGTCTGGGCAGCCCCGGTTACAGCGAGGGTTTGCAGAGCCTGTCCCGGCAAGGGGGAAATCCTACGCAGGGCGTCCACCCACAGGTGAGGCTGCCAGAGTCCCTGTGAGCGGGTCCAGCCTTATATACCAGAGATCAACAAGCCAGAATAGCTGGCACCTTTGTTTTGAGTGGAAAATTTCTGGTTTCATTTTCCTGTTGGATTCCACCCAAAGCCTGGCCAGGGCCTGGGGAGGGGAGACTAGGGGAGTTTCTAACAAGGCCAGATGCTTGGGTTCTCAGCCTTGAACAAGGCTAAACAAGGGAAGGTGGATGCATTCTCACAACACTTTATCCTCACTACTGATTATATTCTGTCTAAGCCGCATCTTTCACTAGCGAGCTTACACACTTTGTTAATGATGACATACTAAGTTAGCAGCTTTCGCTTGGGGCCTGTTGTTCAGGCTTCAGTACTTCAACACTTCAGCACTTTTTACATCATACTACATACCTACTAGCACAATGGTTTTCAGTTATAAAATATACAGGATTCATCTATAGGTCAACTCTGGCTTGGGCCTGTTATCCAAGCCTTAGCGCTTCAGTCTAAAGATTCTTCTCTCATGGAAGAATGGAGAGGGGCCTGAGGGGGGTGCCTGTTATACGCAAATATGCTGTAAAAATGGCAGCTGTCTGAGTGCGGGGTGTGAGGGCGAATTAAACATGTGCATGGTATTAAGACCCAGATCACCTCTATAATTTAAAGTGATGAGATCAGCAGAGCTCTTTGGAGGTATAACTTTATCACAACATCACAGATGCTCTGTCCTCCCTTAAAGACAGAAGGCAACCTAGGCTGAGTGAGTTCAGGGGGCTTAAGGAAGGAGTTTTCCCTGAAATAGTCCCAAGAATGGAAGCACTACTGGGTACTAGAAGTCTCTCTACTCAGCAGAAGGAAAAGAAAAATTTTGAAATTCATGGGGAGACCTTTGGTATTTTTCCCTCTCCAGATGACCAGACAGATGGAGGGAGTCAGTACAAGTGAGCTTAGATCCAGCTGTGAGATCCTTCATACAGCTCTCCATTACAGGAATCCCATGAAACTTCAAGTCTGGAGAGTCTGTTTTGGCCAATCTAAGACTAGAAATGACCAAAGACTGAGCAGCAGCATGGTGAAAGAGGCTTTGTAGATCTCAGAAAAGAACAGAGAAGATAAAGGGTGTTTGACACAAGCATTCAGCTCTGGACATGTTTGCTCCAACCTCTGACTCCCTGTTACTGAATGCAAATATTGCAGACATTTGGAATGGCACTACAAGTGCAATATATGGATGCCCTGACGTTTTCCAATGGGGCATATTAAAAATGGAAAGAAATTAGAAACTCATATGTGGCTTGTAACTTCAAACATTTAGACAGGATAAATATATGCAGAGTGCTTAACAATGCTGTGCAATGTTTTTTTGAAATATATACTCCCTAATGTACTTGTAAGCAGGGGGAGTTCAAACAGCAATCAGCCAAAACTGAATAGGTACACTCCATCAGAATAGATTTTCCTTATAGTTGCCCTCAAAGCAGCATCATTTCTCATACTGCTTGAAGCTGATTTAAGTGTTGGGTCTGTGCCAATTATTCGTTAAGCCTTCTGTCTTTATTTTATAGCTTATATGATACAACTGACCAACTCACGGAAACATCTGTTGCACGCAAAGGCAAAAAGTACTAGGGTCCTACCAATGTTTAGATGGCCACTTTGTCCCTTTTCTGCCATCATTACATCTGAGGGTGGCCTCAAGTGCAGATAACACTCTTCTGCAATGTTGTTTTGTTAATTTTGTAGAGGTGGGAATTCATTGCTCGTTTACTCTAAGTCAATCTTTGTTAGCTAAGTGTACAATTAAAATTACAGTATTTGATGTAGATCTGGGTGGCTTATAGCACCAGTCTCTCACTTCTAAGCACAGAGTTAAAGTTCAGCCAGAGGTCTTGCATAATATGAGTTTTCAGGGATTTTAGTGTAGTCCCCACTGGAACGTTATCTACAACACAAACAACTATACATCATTTGGCAATTCAAGACAAAATTTGATTAGGAGACACCCTATTCTAGCTCATTTTAACATATCGAAGAGTGTTCTCCTTTTGCACAGAGTTATTTCTGGCAAGACCTGAAATTGTTAATAAAGAAGAGGAGATTGGCCTTACTATCTAGCCTTCAAAGCATATCAAATTTGGCACTCCTCTTAACAAATCTATAGCATGATATTTCACCTAAAATATTATATTGAAAGGTGACTGACCCAATGCCAAGGAGATCTGAATCTCTCACTCAGAAACAATCCTTTGCCTTTCATTACTTTTTATAGGTTTTATTTAACCCAGCACTGCCAAGTGCCTTCAGTGCCGTAGTCTCTAAGCTCCTCGTAGCAAATAGCAGCATTTTATAGAACAGGGTCCCTTCCTCAGGAAAAATGTCGCACATTTTAACAGCGGTCATTCTGACTCAGTCTATATGTGGCAGAATTAAGTGCCTAGTCTAAGCAAGCTCTTCCTACAGTAAATGGAACTTGAGTGAGGGACTCCCATACCAAGTTTCTGCAAGAAGTCTCTCTTCAAGGTTGTCTCCTCCCTAAGAGATTATGAGGGTTGTAATGTTAAATGCTGGAAATGAAAAGATGTCCTCATGGTTCAGATTAATCAAACTTTATCACCATCTAAGTCTATCATAAGATGCAGTTCTTCAATGACTCAGTAAGTCAATAATTTTATTTCAGCTGGACTATCCAAAGCCTAAAATTCATAACTTCTCTCACTTTTCTTGCTGTAACTCTTTCTTGACTTTGAACCATAATGACTGTTTCCACACAGAGACAACATTATGCTGACACCTGTAGAAGGCAGGCACTGAAATTTCTTCAATGTGTGTCAAAACTGGCATCTGAAAAACAAAATCCAATTTGAAAACAGTTCAAAATTTCATTATGTCAAAGAAGACATTGCTAGGTATACATTCAAATCAACAAAATCTCTTAAACTGTAAAAATTCAGAGAGAAAATTTTCCTTTTCAAAGGCTTATATGAGGAAAAATAAAACTCTGTGGAGTATCACACTGGTGAATTTCCCCTGGTTTCTGGTTGCAAAGGAACTTCCTGCTGAGCAAAGTTCAAGAGACTAATTTAAGCAGCCTTCAACTTCAATTCTGTGAGCTAAAGTGGGATGAAGATAGTGCTTGGGGAATTCCAGTTGTAAGGGGACAGACAGATAGCTTTCAGTTGCTGCACCTCTTCTCCCTTGTTTTGATAAATATGAGCTATGTGCCAACTTTTTAATGATATCTTTGAAGTGTTTTAAATTGGATGTCAAAACCTTGGGACCCATGAAGTCCTGCAGAACTGCAGTGCCTCTTCCCCGAGCACCTGATGCTGTAAACAAGACAGACAAAGCCTTCATCCTTCATCCAAATATTCCCACCCTTTTTTCCATGTTGTTGTCCTATTTCTTTTCCTCCATCTGCTCAGTCTAAGTCCTTCACCTTTTATCCTCCAAGTCTTCCTAAATATCAGTCTTCTGCTTTACAGCAATTTGTAGCATACACTGAACCATCAGCTTTGTTGTCAGATATTTATATGGTACCTTTCATTTTGATGTGGAACCTTGTCCCACAGTTTCTTGTTTTAAGTACCGTCTCATTCATTAAATTAGATGAGACTTAAATTTCACTTTGTTTTCTCATTAGAAGTAGTTATTCTTTTTCTGTTGGCTGGACATCTTACCGGATGTCTGCAACAATGCAGAATGACTTTTTGTTTCCCCAATTTGGAACTCCGTGTTTTCTTTTCTGTCTCTTCTGTCTGCCTATGTTCTCTTATTGTACATACATACATATTTAGATGAACTGCCTAAGATGTTCATGTGATGGTGTGATATGCCTATCTACACGTCATTCTCAACATCTACCTGTGCCTGTCAACTGATAAAGGCTCCACAACTCTTAGTCCCCCTAAAAAAGCAGATCAATTTCAAAGGAATTCAAGAGATAGTGGGATGCCTCAGCAATACAAAGTGCCTTAAGCCATTGAAAATATAGGTACCTAAACAGAGGAGGAGGATCTTATTTAGTACCTCCACTGAGATACATGTAACAGAAGTCAGCCTGTGGTGGCCATGTGTTGCCTGACCTGTTGGCACTGGACCTGCCACAGTACATGCTACCACTTCACTAGGAACACAGGTAAATATGGGAGGGCTGTTGAATGGTAGAGGAGGACAAGGAGTTGAGAAAACTGGAAAAGTTATTAAGGGGCATACAGCAAAACTGTGGGAAACCAAGTTTTTTTAGCTCTACTTTCATGGAACAAACTGTTTACTGTAATTTTGTCTTCTGAAGAGTTGTTTCTTGCTGTTATGTGCTTCCCTCTGATTGTCTCCTTAGTTTTATATGATATTCTCCTCACATCTCATCTTCTCCATCTGTCTGGTTTTTAGTTTCCTACTTATTTAGTCATACAAAGTCATCTATGCTAAAAACAGACATGGCTGAAGCTTTGTTTCCTTTTTTATATAAAAGAGAGGGTAAAAGAATTCCAGCTTGCAACAGAACCAGGCCAGTTTACCAAAGCTGCCCACCCATTCCCAGCCAGCCTGGGGACATTTTATTCAAACAAGCTCTTCCAATATTCTACAAAGCCAATTGCTTGACTGATGAGGTTTTACGAAACCACTAAAGAAAAACCACCTCCCTTCCACTGGTTTACTCATCTCTACAAGTATAAAATTAATTTTTACACATTGAGAAAATTGAGAGGTTTTTTCCTTTTTCCTGCAAGAAAGGTACAGAAGGTACACTGAGTCTTATACAGCATTATAATGTAAAACTTCATTACATTCATGTGACTGATCAATACAAGAGAGCACACCAAGGTAATTTCCGATTTGGGCTGGTGGTTGTCATAGTGCAACAAGCTTTGGGTCAGATTTGCGTCAGGTTTGTCTACCTTGTAACAGCAAAATCTGCCATCTCAGAACTGCCCTGCTGCACCAGATTAACACATTAGGAATATCTTTTTAGAAAAAAAGCTGTAATATAATGAGAAGGAAACAGAGGCAGGAGCACAATTCAATGTTATTACAAGAAAGATGAGACTGGGTATTGATAATAATTTGCAAAGGATAGAGCAAAAACTTCATAGCAGAAACATCCACTTGAAACAGAGACTGGAAGTCAGCCAAACCCCCTAAACTGCCGACGACAAATCATGGTTGCATAAGACATCCCCCAAATCATAGTAGAAACTAAACAGGGGAGTGAGCAGAGCAGATGTTTGGAGGTCATTAACAGGAGCTCAGTTTTCCTTGCCTGGTGGCTACCTCTACAGATATCTGATTCCCAGAAATTTCCTTGACCTCCAAACATCTGCTCTCTTCTCCTGTTTTCTTTACATCCGTACTGCAGAGAGACTCATGCAGTCATAACCTTTTCAGTCCTTTCTTATAAAATATTTGTCTCTCACTCCCCTAAATCATGAAGGAAAGTATTTAACAGATCTGTACCTATCATCATTCATGGTAGGACCTTCATGTTCATTGCAGTTGATACTAAA